TTCTAAGTAAATTTTGTTGTTAAAGGTCAACGGCAGTGAACTCTGCAAAAGGCAATAGCAAGAGAAACGTGCCATATTAATTCAGTGAAATTTAAAGGTAAACAAACCGTTGGGCAAATTTTCAATTCTAAAAACAATGATGGCCATGTTCAGTCTTCATATGGATTTTATTTATTCAAGGATGGACTGAACAGCTTATTTGATCGATGAGAAGATGTTTGACGATAGATTACTCAAGTTTCCCCCACACCTTTTTCACAGTACCAAATTCAAAAATTATCAAAAATTTAAAATTTAATAAGTGTCCGTGATTTCTTTATTTTACGTTCAAAGTATTATTTACCAAAAATTTTAATTTTTTTTTTTAATTTCATATTTTTCGATAGTTTTTAAAAGATAATTTGATTTTAGCTCCAAATTTACAGTTTTTAGTCCACCAAATTCGATTTTTGATAAAATCAAACTGGCAGGTCACAGGTACAAATTCGAAGAATATTGCTTTGAGCAAAATTTCCAAGACAGGCGGGTCAAACCTTGAGAGTTTGGTACTAAAACATATAATTTCACCTAAGACACCGAACGTAAAAACACGTGGTACGACTAAGATAGTGTTAAAAATAAAATATTTTCACCAAACTTAAATTGGTTCGTTAAAAATAATTATTCAATAATTTTAATATTTTTTTATAATTATTTTCTTTCTTTTTTAACATTAAAATTCAAAGTTGCAAGAGTTTATTTTTTGTCTACGTTCAAAGCACTGCGCGACAGCTTGAAAACTATTGAATCAATCATGGGAAGATAGAACGAAAATTTTGGAAAAATAGCGGTTAATTGTATAGCATAATATTCTTTTACAACAACAAAGAAGTTCTACTAAATTTTGTGTGCGCAATCAAAATTCTCTTACCGAAACGTTGGAATATGTCTTCGGTGGTAATGATTTGTCACGAACAAGAGTTTTTGATTGGAAAATATTATTCAAAAAGGGTCAAGAACGTTTTGACAAAGAACCAACTGATGCTCAAGACGTCAACAAAATAAACGAGTTGATGCTTGAGAAAGTGCATTGGCCGCGGTGGGCTGATGGAACCACAGGCTATCAAAACTATCCGAGGCAACACGCGCTGGTTATTCATTTTTTCATCGTCAATTATTGTCAACAATCTGGTTGTTTATATAATTCTTTTCTTGAACAATTAAGAGAAAAATACAAAGTATATTTTGCAAACACGGCACGTTGGCCTTCGAACAAAAAACGTAAAATTATAATACACGTTCTCTGCTCGAAACAATGAAAAATATAAAAAAATTTAAAATAAAATTTGAATTTTGCTCGAAATTTCTAGTTTTTAGTCTACCAAATCCGATTTTTGATCAGAGTAAACTGGCAGGTCACAGGTATAAATTCGAAGAATGTTGCTTTAAACAAAACACATAAACAAAATCTTTGTGAAATATTAAGTTTTTGGAAATATTTTTTGTTGATACGAAAATTTCCAAGGCAGTTGGGTCAAACTTTGGGAATTTTGTAACAAAACATCTACTTTTACCTAAGACATTTTAATATATTTTATAATTATTTTCTTCCCTTTTTCTAGCTTTTTGCTATTTCCATAATTAAAAAAAGAACCTAATGTAAATTTTGTCGAAACTTCTTTAGCCTTAAAATTCAATTACAAAAGTTTATTTTCTAAGGAAAACAAAAATTTTGGAAAAAATAGTGACTAATTTTATAGCATAATAATAGCAAATATAATGAAGCTCCAACTTCTCTAAACCATCTCACAAATATGTTTTCTGAAGATTTTCCATTAGTCTCTGTGGCGACACAACGTGGAGAATGCTGTAGCAGGAACAACACTTCGTAACCAGAATCGATCAATTTAGACGAGTTCATGATAGAGGTGGTCTCACTGTTGCGCTTGTTATCCGGAGTGAGTAAACATGGCACCCATCCCGCCCACAGCTTTCATGTTCGATGTTTAGTAGAGCACGTAGGGTTTTAAGGATGAACTACACGACAAGTTAATTCTCTTACAACACCGATCCGATCCGACCCGATTTTGATCCGATTGAAACATTTTGTGCTGAGACTTTTTTCTTCAAAATTTAAAATTGTAAAACTATAAAACCATTTGAGCAAACCCTTGAAATATTAATCGTTTGCACAATAATTGCGCAACATATCAGCTGATGATCAACGGACTTAAAATCTACTGAATCACTATCGCATATCGTAGGCAGGCACGGCAGACGCGTTTGTTGAGAATTAGTCATAATTTCATTCAATATCTCCAATGCACAAGCAGCTATGTTTTTATTTATGTCTGAATATATCCATATGTCTAGGAACATAGTCGCAACGCTGCGGCCTTTAGTTCCTTATGAATTACAGCGATGACGTTATTTATTAAATTTGAATAGAATATAAAAATAAAAATTATAAATAATATAAAAGGAATAATAATAAATTGTATGTAAACTTGAAAAGGCAAAATAAAATTACAAAACTGCAGAAACGGCAAATCAAAAGAAATTTAAATAATTTGTATTGAGCAAAAACGTGATGGCGTTGTAACAGACGACGCGAGAGAGCGAATGCAAAAACAGAAATATTATATTTATATATAGTACATACATATATGTAAAAGGTAAAACACAATAAACGCAACCCTCGTCAAGTACATAAGTTAATAAATAAAACAAATTGAAGCCAATAATAAAGTAGCGCTGGCAATTTTATAAAATCAACAGCAACAATAGCAGCAGTCGTAATAACACTGGCGGCATTTCACACCTGGCGCAATTTTTCATTATTTTCTTTACATACATACAGACAGATTTGTATACTTATTATATATATAGCACACATATATACATATATACTTGCTTATAATATTGCTTATATTTTTCGTCAGCAGCTGCAGCACACCGCAACTTCAAATCCGCAACACACGACCTCAACGGTCCCAACCATGCTTAACAACAACGGCGCGTCATCAGCACATCAACAGTCAAGGACGTTGAAGGCCATTCATCGACATTTTACATTTGTTATTGCGGCAGCGCAGCTATTGGCGTTGTGATGATGAGCTTGTGCGCTTGCTAGGTGTTATTATTTTTGTTGTAAAACTTTTGTGTTCCCGCTTTATAAAAAACAACTGTTTTTTCTGCTGCCAATCACATTCGTTTTCATTATTTCCATATATTCGTTGGTGAGCAAGCGTGTGTGTCGTTAGGTTTGTGCGGAAGTACACATCTATTTTTCACACCTGACTTCGAAGGAGGCGTAACGGAGATTTCATGCTCATTCCACAGCTTAGCGGCAGCCACAAACGAAAATGTTGTGCGTTGTACCAAAATGTGAGTAGTTAAGTCATTAATTCTAAAGGAAGACTATTTTTCTTTTCTACGAATTATTTGCCAATCAACTGTGCAAGAAATGGTAATTATTTTGCCTACAGTATTTTTTATTAATTATAAAGTTCTTTTTATAAGCAACTTGTTATTGAATCTTAGAATCTTACACTTGAACAAAAATAGATTTTTAAACATGACCCAAGGTAGGGCTCTAAGTCTTGTTGTGAAGTCGAAAGTCGTCGTAAGTTGGTGTAAGTTTATTCTGAACATGGTCTAGCTAAACTCACGAGCATTGAACGATATTAAAAAATTCAGTTTTGCAACGAATTGTGGTTGGTGATGAGAAATGGATTCTTTAGGACAACGCAAATCATCGGTAAAGCCAAATATCCATCACGCTAGGGCAATGCTTTTAATTTGGCACCGCTCACGCGGTTATCGCGGAGTTTACAACATCGCGCTAGTCTCCAATTGGAGATTCCAAGCGAAACCAGGTCTTCATTACCTGTTCTTTCAAACGAAGTGAAGGTCTTTCTCTTCCTCTGCTTCCTCCGGCTGGTACTACGTCTAATACTCTCAGAGCTGGAGTGAACCTATCCAGCGTAGCCGCTGTCGCTTAATTCCCTGAACTACATAGGTCAATGCCGTCGTATTTTTCGTAAAGCTCATCATTCCCTCGACTGCGGTATTCAGCATTGCCAATGCGAAAAGTACCAAAAATCCTTCGTAGAACCTTTCACTCGAAATCTTGTAACGTCGTCTCATCAGATGCTGTCATCGGCCATGCCTCTGCACTATATAGCAGGACGGGAATAATGAGTGACTTATAGAGTTTAGTCTTTCTTTGTCGTGTGAGGACTTTTCCAACCCACGGTAGTTGACGCAGATTGTGGGGTTTCCACAATCATCGGATTTGAATAGCGCGGCCAGCAATCCATCAGCCTCCGCCGCTTTGTTATTGCCAACCGAACTTCTTCATGGTCAGGCAATTGATCGTCTATTCTATTACGAGCTTCTAAAATCCAGCGAAAGTATTAATAAAGAACGCTACTAAAACAACTCATCAAAATGAAATGAGCCATTGCCGAAAAAATCCTAGAATTTGCCATTAGACTTAAGGCAATAATTTTCAAACATGAACATCAACGCTCGGCTTCATGTTGCAAGACCGGTTGAAAACTATTTGGAAAACAGCGGCTGGAAAGTTTTTCCTCACCCGGCCTATAGGCCAGATATTGCTCCTTCTGCACATTGCACTCACTGGAAAACGGTTTACATTAGATAACGGTTCACATTAGAAAACTTGACCTGATTCACTATTGACCGCCAAACAACTATTATGTAATATCACTTTCATCTTTTGACTACAATACCCTAAAAGTATACTTACCTAACACTGCTTATTTTTAGATTTATACATACAGTTTTTAAAATAAAACTTGACGAAGTATTGAATGTTTTTTAGAAACAACGCACAACAACGCTGGCGACAAATAAACCCCCGAAAGTGATGTCTGATGAGTAATTGTTCCATTTTTGTTGCAACGATGATAGCCGAACTATTGTTGCCTACATTCGGGCACAATAAATATGTATATATAGTTAAATCTTTGCTATAAAAATGACAAAACAAACAGTGGAGTTATACGAATCTTTAATTTTTCTGAAGTTTCGCTACATCTTTTGTCATATTAAAGAAACATGTTGCCTCGTATCGGAATAGATCATGAATACTAAATATATTCAAATATGTGGAAATTATAGTGGCCGCCACACCGAAAAGCATCACCGACAGCGACATCGTCAGATCGCATTTCAGACGATGCCAATACTTTAAAATATGTAACCAGCATTTATGCAATCTTAAACGCCAAGAAAGCGCCACCCCACGGCGCTGTTGCTGTTCCAGCATCAATAACTGTTCTATATCCGTATGCACGGGCTCGAAGTTCAAATCGAGTGGTATACTGCCGTAAGAAGACTCGGTTGCAACGCGCTGATGTGTTCTTTCCATTTGGCTTATGCGTCGATATAGTAACGGTGGTAGTATAAAGACCAATGGGGCAATAATCGTGCCGCCTACGATATCCATGAGTACATCAAAACTGGGTACAAATTCGGCTATGAGCACTTCAAGAGCGACAACGGTGGAACGGAGAATAATGCGTTTCCATGAGAAAGCTTAAAAATTTGAATACAGTTATTATTTAGTTAGAGATTTTCAATAGATCAGTTTTATTACCTTCATTGATTCGCAGATAATTTTCAATTTGTAAAAACATGGCGGAACTACCGACAATAACTGAGAAACACAACTGCAAAGCCATAAGTATGAGCAGAATGTATAACGCCACACTCTTCGGCAATGTCTCCAACAGATTATCCGCGATCATTGTACCGAATTTATATACAGCAATAATGGAACCGAATATGGCTATGGCGCATGTTACTGAAATAATAATAATGAACTAAATTAAATGATTATATACTTTCACTTGGTAATTTTACTTAGTTCTGCTATAAATAAAGCTAATTTTTTTTAATAATGTACTCTCTATCAAAGATAGTGTTGCTTAACTGATTTACAACACCTTCTAAAACAACATTTTTTAACCACACTGAACCTCTGGAATAACATTTTTTTGCGTTTTTGGAACCGCGTTTGAAAGTGAAAGTATACTTTCGTTCTGTTGACCGCGTTCCACTGAAAAAACCGCTTGCATCTGTTGAACCTAATTTGCTTCCAGTGCTCACAAAACGATGATATATTTTCCCCGCTCTTTAGACATTTCTCTTCAATAAGGTTTGACATTTCATCATGAAAATCTTTTCTTACGATCCAAAAACGAGTCGAAATTATTAAAATTTATTACCGAAATTCAGAGTCAGTGACCTCAACTTTAAGAGCGCTACGTCCAATATATGGTCGTTAAAATCCTGTCCTGTCAAATCAAACGTTGTGCGTCTAGTGAATAAATTTGAATGTTCCCGTGCCAGTGGGACAAAGAATTGCTCGTAGTGTCAAGAGAGATGAACACCCAAAACAGTCTCTCACTTGTCGTTCTCAAGCGTTGGGCATCTCTGTGACGTCGTTGTGGAGAATTTAGCGAATAGGTCTTGCCTTACTTCCTCACAAGATCCAATTGATGCAAGAATACACTGGAACCACTTGACCAACAGAATCGTCATATGTTCGTGAATCGGGCTGCGCAACAACTTGAAAATGATCCGGAAAATATGATGATATGTCAGACAACAATCCCCACGTGCTCCATTAGTCACCATTGTATCCCGAAATAATTAGGGTTTAGTGCGATTTATGAGCCGGCGGCGTCGTTGCGCCATACTTTTTCCGTGACGATCCGACTCCGTTCGCTACCACTGAATGATAACCGAATATTTTTGACCCGAATTGGATGATACCGACTTGAACAATATGTGATACTCGACTCGAAGCAAGACCAAAGTTATTTTTATTATAATTTGTTTGCAGTGTCTAATGATATAAATTATTAATCAGTTCAGTGGAAAATAGGCAAATTTGCGAGTTTTTCAAAAAAACATAATGTTTCGACCAATTTTTTCTACAATTCTGCGTCAAATCGGCCAAATAATACGGTATAGTATAGCCTCTCGATATTTTTAGATGCCTGTTGTTTCAGCTACTTCACACTACTTCAATCGGCGATCTGCCAAATACAAGTTCGAAGTCCTGTGTCTATTTATCCTCAGCAACCGTTTTTGAGGCACCTCATAACTCACCAAAACACAAGCTGAAGCGTTGAGTGTTATTGAAGCAGTGGTTTCGACGGAAAAGAATAATATACAGTATTCAAGCCGCCCTCTTTGAGTCAACGTGTAAAGAATCTAAACTAAAGTGGACAATTTTCCTACCAACACCAAAAATTTAAAGACTCACCGATATTGGCCTATGTTTCTAAAATACGTAACCACCCGCGATTAAAGCAAAACTACGATCCCGATTTTGCTAGTGTCCGTCCACAAGAAAGTAATACACGATAATAAATCTCTCCTTTTATAAATGTTATAATGGCGACCGCTTTCGACGAGGGTAAGTACTTAATAAACCGCCCTTTTTTATAATGTTATGTACGTCTGTATATTAAATATAAATGAATGCATAGCAAACTCACTTGTGATGCCACTGAATGCGGCCCAGTAAACTTGAGATCTCTGCTGCATATCGATTTGCAAGGTGAGTAACATCGGATGAATGTCAAACTGGAAAGCCAAAATGCTATAACCATTCAGCAGGGCTAATAACGATGGCAATTCTATGAAGAAAAATATGCAAACAAACATAAAAAAGTTATATGTGGAGTCAAACATAGGTGTATAGTAGTGAGCATACCTAAGCTGACACCTTCGAAGGGTTTGCCCAACGGTGCGGATGTGAAAAGGCAAAACCACAAGAGAATCACAATAATAACGAGTACTACAAGCGAGAAAATCGTCAGTCCCCTACAAACAAAAGCAATAGCAAACATAGTTCATACATTCATATAAATTCAAAGCAAATATACGTAATGCGAAGTTATTTATCAGACCCGTGTAAGTGCGCCCGATATTATGCCATCGAATATTATGATTTGTTCATGTATTATTGCTTCTTACCGCATATATTTAGGACTGCGTAGCCACATTAGCGGACAGCAAAATATTCCTATTATAATAACCCAGTAACAAAAGGAGAAGGAAAATTTATTATCCGTTATGCGCTCCCCGACAAGCTCGAGATTTTGTGCTGCTATCAGTAGACTTGGTATGGCGGTGGCAAAAATACTTATATCGAGCAAGATACGCACGAACAGGCTCAGGCAGGGGCCATATGCCAAATGGGCTATTGCTGCATAGGGATATCTGTAAAAAATCATTTCCATTAAATATGGGTTTATAAGATGTAACGATTTTCTGTATCATTCAAAACTGTAAAATATACAAGATAACACAAACGGAGTTACTAAAGGGTGATCCATTTCGAGGTTCCCATCTTTTAATGGAGAATGTTTACTATCATTCTAAAGAGAAATCTTTGGCTTTTATTTTTTGAAGATTATCTCTTTCAAATGATGGCCGTGGCTATGACTCAGATGATCCATACGTAGAGTCCAATTTTTGATGACCCGTTCGTGCATTTCGACTAGTAATTGGCGAATGGCACGCATGATGTTTTGCTCCAAGGCCTGAATAGAAGAAGGATTGTCCACATAGACTTTAGAATCTACATATCCCAGATGATCTTGATGTACAAAACATTGGCCTAAAATGGGAAATTTTCTGCTCACAGAAGTTTTCTCTCAATAAATCCATTGATTAATGCGATGTGTGGGAAGAGGTGCTGTCTTGTTGAAACCAAATGTCAAGGAGATCACGAGCTTCGATTTCAGGCATCAAATACTTAACTATCATGGCGCGATAACGGTGGCCATATGATTACGTTCTCACCAGCATAATTTTTGAAGACATATAGACGGATAATTTCACTGGCTCACAAACCACACCAAATCCTGGTTACTCTTCGTCCCAAATGCGGCAATTTTGCTGGTTTACATACCTATTGATACAGAAATGGATCACATCGCTCAATAAAATTTGTCTCGAAAACGTCGGATCTTCATGAAACTTCCCAAGAGCCCAGAGAGCTTGGAAAAATCAAGTGCCTTCATTTATTTTTTTTATTATTATTTTTCGTAATAAAGTTTAACGATTTGTGAACGTTGTTCAGGATTAAGGGGTTAGGGGTAGTCAAAGGCAGGAAAAAATTACAATTTTCAGTGTTTTTATTTTTTTAGTATTAACTCGTGTTATTTTACAAAAGTAGTAATATGGCATTATTATATTATAGAATGTGTTGACTTGAAGTCACGAAAATTTCAAAAAAAAATTAATTTCCAAAGTTATAGTTATTTGTGTTGACCCTGTTTCAAAAAAAAAGATACTTGCGGTGACAACCATAAGTCCTTGGACATTCATCTCAAAATCAATCGGACAAAAAAAATTTGTTTTATAAATAGATAATCCTGGGCCTGATCGAAGGTTTTGAAAAACAAAAATGCTTCGATCAGGCCCGAGTTTATTATGTATTCTAAAAGCTGTATAAATTTCATTAAAATCTACTGAGCAGTTTTCGAGTTACAGTTGTCACCAGTTCAAAAAACATAGTTTTGAGAAAAACGCGTTTAAAATTTCACACTAGCGCTTTGAAGTGCCCGAGCTCTCTTTGATATTTGTCGAACAACTCAAAAACTAATTATCGGATCAACGTGAAATTTTCAGAGAATATTTTTAAGATATTACACTTAACGAAAATGCAAAAAAAATGTCAAACTATACTGAACAAAAATAACATGACAGCTTCGCACGACTCACGCATGAACTGTCAAGAAAAGTCTATTTAAAAAGGAATCTCTAATGGATCACCGGTTATATAGTGTTAGATATTAGAGGGATTCGCCGTATTTAGTTTTATCAGAAGATCATCGGCTACGAATTTACTAAATCATTTACCGTCTGGCCTATTTTAACCAATTCGAATAGTTATAATTGGACAAACACTTCAAGAATCTCTCTAGACTTTATTCACAGTTAGCTTTTTTTAAACTTTTGAAACTTTTGAAACATAAAGTTTATTTTTTCGGTTTCTGTCAGGTCAAGTAGTTAGCCTTTAGACAGAGATTTACATTCCGATCAATATACCAAAAGGTTTTCAAATAGCAGTTCACTCATCAGATGATATTAACGAAGTTTCTTGTAATATTCATTATTTGTAATTAAGATCCAATCTGTAATGAATGAATAAATCTTTATCAAGCTTCTATCAGTAACGGCCGCTTTCATGTACTCATTCCATTTCTCTATGAGTTTTTATAGTGAATAAACCGCCCATTCACCGCCTGTTATCACTTGAACAGAGAGATCAATTCATCGTTCTGATCACCTTGATATGTATGACTACATATACATATATACATATGCATATTATATATAGTGAATGAAGAAATATCACTATAAAATAATATATATATTTTTAGCATATACATTTACCTCTCCATTTATTTTTTGCTGTTACAGCAGTCATTGTGAGCACAAAACTACTATTCTAATTTTGTGTAAGAGTTGTGAGAGTATAAACATTATCTCGAGCATCCTCATACGACCCTGTTGATCGCGACAGTTTCTGTCAATATAAAAAATTGGGTCTGTTTCCGTATTTTCACAATCTTTGAATTACACCTCATTCTAAATCTTGTCTGGCGAATAATTTTCACCATCCAACTTTGAAGATGTTGTCTACTGACGGAGAATGATAATATTCATTATCTGTCTATTCTACTTTTCTTACTAATACAAAAAAATCAAAATGTTGGTTAAGTATGTGGTGAAAACCGCTTGAATTCTCCGTATTTTTGAACTCACCTGCTCTTTTGTGATATCGACGGATCGAAGGACTCAGCCATAATCCAGCACTGACTGAGTAAGAAGGAAGTGTAAATTTGTAGCGCTATAACGGACAAGACCAAAGGTATGCCCAGTACACCTAATTGCACCAGCAGAGCCGGGAGCGTTATTAATGGCAGTACACCAAATAAATCAACGACGTAAAGGACTGCAATGAAGAGTGTCAAATTCTCCCTTTCCTCGATTTTGTGCAAATGTGGCAGCGCACTGAAGCGCGCACGCGATAAAAAAGGCCGCTGATCATTGTGAGACTGAATGGAAGGCGGCTCATTAGAGTGGTAATATGCGCGCGAAGGACGCAATGCAGGCTTCTGACGACGCTTGAAAAACATGGTGCACTTTAAAAGAAAATACCGTTTATATGGGAATTTGCATTTCAGCCAATAAAATTTCTCATCGCGAACAACCGATATGTGACGATTCGGAGCGATGCAACTGCACGGTTTAAGTTAAGGCGAGCAACTGATGCATAGTTTGTATTAGAAAATTTCGCTCAGTCTACAAACTATTTGCAGCGCATTACCGTTAAACATAAATACATATCTATGTGCAAGTATGCCTATAAACAATTTGTTCATTTGTGGTGAATTCGCTCAACCCAGTGACAAGTCGTTGCTTAGTGGGGTATACTTAAAACTATTGCAAGTAATTTGATCCTCCAGCAGTGGTGAGCGGTTCTTACAAGACTGTCGGCTTCAGACCATGTTTTTATGTGCTTACATATAGTATACATAAATATGTACTTAATGTATGTTTGTATTTGTACTACCACAATATTGCAAAAATAATAGTTTACATGGAACAGAACCAATGCAAAGGTCAATAACACTAATGGAATTGTTACACTGTATATATGTATGTATAAACCGGGCTGACAAAAGAACTACTATATATATTATATTTTACTTACAATAGATATTTATTATCGCCTTTAAAATGGCTCTTGAGCCAGTGAAAGCAGGGAAATTAATCCAATTTTCTATAAACCTTTTATAAGCCTCGGCTGAAATGGCTTTCAGTGTTTTAAGCGAATCTTGATCTTTTCGGTTTCAGCTCATTTTTTATCGTCATAATGATAAACACACGTGTTGTCACCGTTAGTGATGCGTTATTGGGTTGTTAAGCATCTCTTTCGCAACCTCTACTTGACTTTTTTTTTTTTGCAAAATATTCTAGCAGTTAAAGACCTCATACCCAAAATATTAAGCGAAATAAATGTGTTGAATCGATCTATGAGGGGCCTTCTCTGACTCTGAGGATGTTATGTCATAAACAGAGGAGAATGAACGACACGCGTTGACTGCGTACAGTTATTCTCTTGGAAACATAAAATTTCAAAGAAACTCGTTGTTCATTTGCTTTTTCAAGGTAAAAAATCGCCACACAAACTTTCCGTGGCGTAAACAAAGAGCCGTCACTAACTCACATGTGGAGGTCAAACTTCACACGAACAAAAAGGTTGTTCCAATCTAGGAAAAAATATGTATGGATTAGGTTTATACACGTAGACACCCGTAGCCATATTTATTTTTAATTGTATTTCGGCTTTGCTGATAAGTAAGCACGTTCAATGATATTTGAACATATTGCCGAGGGAAAGAAATTATTATTTAAATTTAGTGGACTGTGTATGGATACGTATAGTATGTATATAATATGTCTTGCTATGTTGTATCAGTGATAGCTTGCTCGTCACTATTTGTTGATATTCGAGTCCTGTTAGCTTTTCTTCTTTTACATCGAACGACGGTATAGCTTTGATTTTACGCTTCTTTTTGTGTATCTTTGTACACTCTTCGGGGATTGTTGTACTTGTTTTGTCGGTGGACATCCCATCCTTTTCTTCATCTTGGCTTTGGCTTCATCGTCAACGACTTTAATTTTCACGTCTTTTTTAGCTCTTCGTCAAGTAGGTCAGAGTCCACTATTGAATTATCAATATTTATACTCTCGCAACAAAGTTGCTAAAGAGAGTATTATAGTTTTGTTCACATAACGGTTGTTTGTAAGTCCTAAAACTAAAAGAGTTAGATATAGGGTTATATATACCAAAGTGATCAGGGTGACGAGTAGAGTTGAAATCCGGATGTTTGTCTGTCCGTCTGTCCGTGCAAGCTGTAACTTGAGTAAAAATTGAGATATCATGATGAAACTTGGTACACGTATTTCTTGGCTTCATAAGAAGGTTAAGTTCGAATATGGGCAAAATCGGTACACTGCCACGCTCACAAAATGGCAAAAACCGAAAACCTATAGAGTGTCATAACTAAGCCATAAATAAAGATATTAAAGTGAAATTTGGCACAAAGGATCGCATTAGGGTGTGGCATATTTGGACGTAATTTTTTTGGAAAAGTGGGCGTGGCCCCGCCCCCTACCAACTTTTTTGTACATATCTCGAAAATTACTATAGCTATGTCAACCAAGCTCTACATAGTTGTTTATTTTAGGCATTTCCATACACAGTTCAAAAATGGAAGAAATTGGATATAACCACGCCCACCTCCCTTACAAAGGTTATGTTGAAAATCACTAAAAGTGTGTTAACCGACTAGCAAAAAACGTCAGAAACACTAAGTTTTACGGAAGAAATATCAGAGAGAAGCTGCACCCAGGCTTTCTTTAAAAATTGAACCAAAAACCATATCTCAGGGACTACTCGACCGATTTCAATGAAATTCGGTACATAATAGTTTCTTAACATCCTGATGACATATACGAAATATGGGTGAAATCGGTTGACAACCACGCTTTCTTCCTTACTTATTTCATCATATGTTTTTAACTTCAATGCAATGGATACGGTCGGATATGTTTTGGCAATTTGTTTATTACATCTTCCTTTTTGGTAAAATTATGCTTGATCTTCAATCGATTTATCCTGAACTGCACTTTCGCACATTTCTTCAAAAAGAAAGCCTGCCGGAAGAGATAAGTGCCAAGGTATCAATTCAGTTGGATTTTTATGTAATTCTTCAAAGAATTATTTTTCAATTTCATTTCCTTTTTATCTTCTTCTATTATTTCTGTTGTTTTTCCTCAACAGAAGATAGAGGGAATGATCGAACTGTTATTGAAGGTATACGAAGTTCTTCAAGTGATTCTTCTTCCACTTCATTTATTTCTTCTTCAACTTCATCATTTCCTTTATATTTTCCTCTATTACTTCGGCTGTTTTTTCCTCGCTAGATAATTTTTTGTTGAAATTTGTAGATTCTGTATTATTCGTGTAGCTTCGCCTTTTAAGCATTGATGAAGATGCAACATTTTTTCTGTGTTCGGCATCTGCTCGTTGTCATGTACCATAACTTGAAAGACGTTTTAAAAATTGGCCCATTCCTAATATCGCCATAAAATGATGGAATTTTTATTATTTTTCTATATTCAAAGTTAGAGCGACAAGAAATTTTATGCTCTTCTTTTTGTAACCTTTTTTTTTAATATTTAAGCTCTTCGTAGTATTCGTCATTAATTTCTTCGAATAAGATTGCAATTTCTTCATTGAAATCCAATTTGCCTTTTAATTTTTAATATCTACGAAAAAAAGTCTAAACACCTTAAATGATCGTTGTTGATCGTTAATTCCATACTTAGATCTTCCATTTTTCTACTGAGGTTTTCAATTTTCCTCATGAATATGGAAGTTTTTCAATCTAAATCTTGGTGTTTAATTTCAACTTCTTCAATTTTTGTTTTACTTGATGGCTTTGTTGGAAAAGTGTTGGACGTGTACAACACCTTTTCGGAAAAATCCGCTTGGGCTCAGGAATCAACTGGAGGAGGACAGAGGGCTTCACTATGTCGAAATCTGGGGCTGATTCAAAACCGAATCTTTTGTCTTCCGCCATGACAATACGCCGGCATAGTCCTCTGTTCCCACGAAAGTCGGGTCTATGTAAGCGGAACGGGCCCGGATTTTTATTCGGCCAAGGACTGTCAACTCGGTAGAATTCAAAGGGTGCAGTACTCCGCCATAGGCATAATTCGCCGAAGTAAAGCTACCAACTGCTATCCATACATCGTAAGAAGTTGGAGCTTTGCTGGGCCACGTATATCAAGCAAAATATGTATTTTCTGAAGGATTACCATTTAGTTCAAGAGGAAAATCGTAGTTTTACTAAAATTGTTCTTCTCTCCTTTATATTCATTTGTTCCACACTACTACAAAAATAATTACTATTATTATTCAAATTTGCATAGCTTTAACTATTCGATGCACATCCATAGACGACTGTATATTAAGCTAAATATTCACATCAATAACGGGAAGCCCTTGATAAGCTATATTCTATTCAATGCTCTCTCATTTACCATTCTTTCCGCACAAAGTTTGCAATGTCATTGCACTCTCACCCGATGACAAATGAAGCAAACCCTGATAATCACATTACAGCTTATAATTCTATTGTAGCATTTGACTTTTGATGACAATTCATAGCCAATAAAACATTGAAATGTTCTACTTTGTTGACGACCTTCAGAAACTTTCGCCAACTTCTCTGCTACCAAAATGGTAGCACAAAGGTACACTTCCCAGAAGTTTACATTTTTTTTTTAAATTGCTTAAAAACTGTGTTACCTTTTCAGTTTTGATGATTTGCGGAATATGCGTGTAAATACTCGTATTTACTAGATATAAGTATGTTTATATTTTGCAAATCGGCGAATGCGAAAAGTGCGCAGCAGCATTGATCTATTGAAGCCAAATGGAACAAATGGCAGAATGCAAAGTCGTCCAACATTAAGAAGAGCAGAAAATCGATTTGTCACCAAAGTGAAGGCGGTGCAAACGCTCCACAGCCACAATAGCGCTTGAGAATCGCACGCAAACAATGCGCTGAGCTATCATTGTTAAAAAGCAATTAAACGGCATTTGTCTAATTATTTCTAGTGGCACTTTTCACTGTTCTTAGAGCCGCGTATCGAAGCAGCCATCGACAATAAGTTTTGCGCTAAATACCGGAGCATAACACAATTTTTTGCGATTTTGGTTTTCGTATGTTTTATTTATTGTTTGTTTTAGCTTAGCAAATTATTTTATTTTACATTTTTTAAGTGCGTATTTCGTGATTTAATATATATTCCTATACAGGGTTGCAAATAATTAATTAAAAAGTAATTGTAAAAACATTTATTTTCTTTTTTTGTAATCCAGAAAATCTTTTATTAAGATAGATATTAATGCCAAAACACGTAACTAAAAATAAAAATAATTTAATAGCAAAATATATCGATTGAAAGATTAAAATATATCATTTTAATTCCAAATACTGTTGTTTTTAATTAAAATACCGGATTGAACGATGAAAAATATTTTTTGAATTCAAAATATGTTAATCGTTGATGATTAAATTAAAAAATAAAATTTCCGATTTTGCAACAGAAAATTTAATTTAAAAAATTAAACGTTGAAAATCTCATTTTATGCAAAATTATTTTATAAAAACTTACGCAACCCTGCTAGTCTATACATACATACACTACTTTGGGGAATTTAGCGAGAAAAATTYGGAATTGTGATATGCTATGCATTTAAAGACAGACTATTTTATACCTAGGAAAATAAGAATTTCTAAAATAGCTAAAATAGCTTTCTGCTTTAATCTAATATTAAAGTTTACAAGTTTCACCACTTTAAATCACACTTACACATATTAGAAGTTTCATTTGAATTAAGCGTAAGCAAGTATAAATTATTTGAATATTTTTTCACTTTCAGCAAGCACTCTCCATTTACAACATCCTTTTTACAGCCATTATTTGGTTACAACATCCTTCACATGTTTTCTAAGCNCAAATAACATTTTGAAAAAAAATAATAATTTTAATCCCAACTTTATAATTAAAAAATAAAAAATATGTTATTTTCGAATTCACATTTTTCGCGTTTGCGTACTTCGTTTTCCACCATTTTTGTCAACTTTTGGAAAGGATGGCATATATTTAATAAAATTTTAGCTAGTTCAAAATTGTTGTTCTTATTTCCATTTAATTCCTTTTAATTATAGGGCTTTAGTTAGAACAATTTAAATATTTTCTTTTCCATCTCTTTTCATTTACATAAGTAATTGTTTCAATATATTACAGCGGTTTTTAAAATAGAAAATATTTTAACATTTTTATAGTTTTATTTCGATTATGGGATTCAAAGATAAGTTTCCAATTTTTAATTTCAATCTTCAAAAATTTTTAATTTTTAATTCCAAATTTTCGAAAAATTCAACTTTTAATTCMAATTTTTGAGAAYTCCAAAATGTTAGGTATTAAAAGTTTTGTGGAAACTTCTAAAGTGGTAATAAAACATTCAAATACTACTTTTAAAATAAATTAAAAATAAAAAAATTTTGTTTTCAAGTTCTGATACTGACTTTTTGATTAAGAATTATATTTTAAAATTTTAATTAATAAAATTTATATTTTAATTTTTTAATTCCAATCAAAATTATTTTAAAAAGGGGAAAAAATATTGAAATTATAATTTTTTATCCCAAAAACTTCCAGTAAAATATTCGCAACTCTGCCTATACTACTATATATATATACCTATTTTTATATATTTCACCTGATGATATTATGTGATGCATGATAAATGATGCATGTTTGCTTACATTTGGATGCGCATAATGATTTTTATGATGCTAACTCAGATATATAAACATACATACATTTCTATGTGCTGTTAACACACCGGAAGTAGTCATTCCTTAAATTTAAATTTTTAATAATATAAATCTGTCATAGAGTAATCCGAAATCGACTTATATCCCTCGTCTACACACAGAAATGTACATATGTATGTATGTATTTGTATGTATACAAATGATATGGAAACACTCAACATTTCATTACCATGCAGTTGATTAGTAAACTGAATTATTACAAATTCAAATACAAACAAATTGTCAATCAGTTTAAAGGCAACTCACTCTCCATTAATAGTTTCCACTTAATTGTGACAGGTTGTTGGTTTGTTTCTGCAATTTTTAATCGCATGAAACTGCTTTTTAAACGTGGATTYTTATAAGGCGAAGTGATGTTGTCGGAAAGGGCAATATTTACGGTAGTATTATGTCACCTAAAGCTCAGTTGACCCAGGAAAAGTTAAAATAGACAAAACGCAATGTTATGTATTGAGTAGCTGTTCACAATTCAGAGCTCATTCAAGTATTGACTTATTGATACTATATTTTTTTAATTTGATGTAATGATGACATTTACTACATTATGATGAAATTTTCAAGGGCAAAAGGGATCAGATATTAAAATCGCCAAAACCAAGAAASTTTCAAACTTTTAGAATCGTCGTTAGAATTATCAAAATTAAATCTATGCTGAACTATATCCTAGTGCTTTTATGTATATATCAATAAATATCATGAACTACTTGAGCATCCAAGTAAATACACATGCATAAAATATTTTATAAATGAGTGTAACTTACGTTTTACAATTAAATAATCCTTGCATTTGAATATAATCAATGACCCTGTCATCGATCAAGAATTTCACAGACAGATCGCGCGATATAAGACGTCGTATCATTGTAGAGCTAACTTCGTTGGGTACCCAATTCGTTATTAACGCAATATGTTTCTTTAATAAGGGAAAAAGAGCATAAAACATTTTTGTGACCACTACTATTCGAAAAAACAATGCCTGATATTTCGTCAACGTATCTGACTCCAAATGAATTTTTCAGGATTAGAGCCATAACGTGAAATAACCACTAAACCATGATTGCCAACAATGTCTTCAATCTTAAAACAAAAATTAATTTATTAAATTGCATGCGAAATGTCTGAAATATATTTGCGCTAATGCATACATCCTTATCTGCCCATAATCCCGGCACTGCAAATGATTCTGGCAAATCAGCTCCGCACAGCAATTTCAATTGCACGCCATCCTGCCGCTCACACAAACCTGTAGGCATCCAGCTAGGTAGTGTACCGTTCATGTCACTTTCTAGTGGAGAGTTGATATAGTTATTCATATAGTTTTGATGGTACTGCAGAACGGAGATTGTGCGTGACCATTCCGATTGTTGTATTTCCCAGTCCGAGGGCTTAAAAGTAACAAAGTAATTAATTAATAAATAAAAGCCTGTAGATATATTATAACCAACTTACTTTGATCCATGTTGAGGATTGCAATGCTAATTTCAACATAGCAAATATATGTGTGCCAGCAACGAGTCCTTTTTTCTGGTAAGAATCGTGTGTGGGTGAAACGATGCCACCAATGACATGATGTGATCCTTGTGTTTTGTAATAATCACGTGCAATTTCTATATCATAAAAGAAAAATAAAATAAAAAATATATGCCATATATAATGAAAATAAAAAAAATAATGAAAAATATAAAATGTTTTTAAAATAAAATTTCAATTTTGCTCCACATTTCTAGTTTTTAGTCTGCCAAATCCGATTTTCGATCAGAGTAAACTGGTAGATCACAGGTATAAATTCGAAGGGTGTTGCTTTAAGCAAAACCAAAGAATGTGTAATATAATATAATAACACATAAACATACATATTTACGCTGGTTTGAAGCGGTGACAATCGGCGGCCATTCGATTATTTTTTTCGGCACAGCTTAGATTTTCTACCAACAACACAATGTGGTGACGCTTTGTCGTCGTGTCAGTCCTTCGACACATTGACTTTTTAACAACGATGAAGTTCGGCTATTGGTTGCCCGTGACAACGGAGTTTTTGTATGAAACAATGGGTGTATATACTTACATACAAAGTTGTGTGTAGACAATTTACAAACATTATGCGAATGATTATTTCAAAATTGTTTACATGAACACAAATTACATACATATGTGAATATTTGATATTTGAACTTTATGCGTACGGTTTTTGAAATGACATGGTCTTTTAAGATGTTATCAAAACTTGTAATACGGATACCCAAAGCAAATAAATACATACGTGAATCTTATATTAATTAAATTTTTAAGTAATAATACAAATATGACTTTATTATACATTTCAACAGCTTTAATGGAATTCATCATTAAATGGGTCAAATTGCACATACATACTTATATACTTATGTGCTTTGATATCAAATATATGGAGAGTACCCATAAATGATATTCATAGCCGCGAATGCGAAAAGTGCGCACCAGCATTAATCTATTGATGCCAAGTGGAACAAATGAGCAGATGAGCAGAAAATCGATTTGTCACCGAAGTGAAGGCGGTGCAAACGCTCCACTGCCACAATAGCGCTTGAGAATCGCACGCAAACAATGCGCTGAGCTACCATTGTTAAAAAGCAATTAAACAGCAATTGTCTAATTAGTTGTTTTGGGTTTCGTATGTTTTATTTATTTTTTGTTTTAGCTTAGCAAATTATTTTATTTTACAGCTTTTATGTGTGTTGTGATTTAATAGATATTTTTCTAGAAGGTTGCAAATAAAGTATTAATATAAAATACAATTGCATAAACATTTAATTTTTTTTGATTTTGTAATCCTGAATAGTTTTCGAATTTCAAATCCCAAATACCGGATTAAAGAGGAAAAAATTAATGCTAAAAAACGTAATTAAAAATAAAAATAATTTAATAACAAAATATATGGATTGAAAAATTAAAATATATTTTTTAATACCAAATACTGGAAATGCTTATTGGAAGATTAAAATTATTTTTGTTTTTTAGTTCCAAGTACCGGATTGAACGATGAAAAATATTTTTTTAATTCCAAATACCGGATTAAACGATGAAAAATTGTTTTTTTAATTCCAAATACCGGATTGAACGATGAAAATATTTTTAATTCAAAATATGCTAATTTACGATTGAGGATTAAAATTAAGAATTAAAAAAAATTTTTTCGCTCTTGCGTACTTTATACAATCAAACGATTTATATTTCAACAATTTTTAATTCCGATTTTGCAACTGAAAAATTTATTTAAAAAACTAAACATTGAAAATCTAATTATATCCAAAATTATTTTATAAAAAGTTACGCAACCGTTCTCGTCTATACATAAATACATTACTTTGGTGAATTAAACGAGAAAAATTCGGAATTGTGATATGCTGTGCATTTACAGATAGACTATTTTATGCCTAAGAAAATAAGCGTTTTGAAATTCATGAAGTGCTAAAACAGCTTTCTGCGTTAATCTAATATTATAGTTTATAAGTTCCACCACACCAAACTGCATGAAATTGAAAATTATTGACAAACATCACACATACATATATTATATTAGAATTTTCATTTCAGTTAAGCGTAAGCAAGTATAAATTATTTGAATATTTTTTCACTTTCAGCAAGCACTCTCCATTTACAACATCCCTTTTACAACCATTATTTGGTTGCAACATCCTTCACATGTTTTCTAAACGCTATCAGGAACACTACACCAATGACTTTAAACATTCACAGCATCTGTCTTTTTCTTTTTGGCGTCGGACTGAAAAAAGTAGAAAGCGAATAACACATTTAATTAAAAAATAATGTTTTTTTTATTTAAAATTCTTGTATTCACCTCATCCCAACCACTGCCAGCGCGCTGGATCTCCGTTGTAACTTTCGTACCCTTCTCGGACGTCACCACCTGCACAACTTGTCCTGGCCCATTACGAATTGGGAGCAACTTCTTGGCTGCGGCAATATTCTCATTGTCACCACAACAAAACACGTTCATGCTTGAAGGCTTACGATTATCTAAATTGAAACTATTTAGAAAATGTTTAATAGAATAGTCACTCTGATCCATATGCACAGCCTTCACCGGCTCATTGGCATCATCTTCGTCATCAGATGGCGAATTATTGACGGATGAGCTGGGATTAGTATTAACACGGTTTAAATAAAAGTTGTTATATTTTTGTGGGTATGTTGTTAAACGGTTTAGTCCAATCATATTCTGACTAACCGCGCAAACTTTAAAGTAGCATAAGTAAAAACAATAATAAACATTTTTTGTTTATTTTGAAAAGCTTGTGAGCATTTAAAAACTGTCATTCACAAGAAATTTTATTGAAAAATGTAATTACATATTTATTAGACTATATAGAAGTTGGAAGAAACTATATGAGAACTATCTATACTGGGGGTGGCTAATACATATCCATATTAATATTATAAATGCGAAAGTAACTCTGTCTGTCTGTTACTCTTTCACGCCTAAACGGCTGAACGGATTTTGATGAAATTTAGTTAGGAAATAGATAGTACTTAGTTACATTTTTATTATTAAGTAGTTAAGGTAAGATGTAGGTAGCTTAACCAATTATTCATATCTCTAGGTTTACTCACATACGTAGTATTATTCTTTATTTTTGCAGTCGCTTTCATTTGTTAATTCTCAATTCATGTGTAGGTTAAGTGTTTTTAGCCCACATCAGGATGTGGTTTTAGGTATAAAAGATTTGTCAGGTGCGTAATTGTTTAGGTTCAATACGTTATTGATTAATTGAGATATTTAGGTTTTAAGTAAAAAGGTTTGTTTTATCGAAGTTTTTATAAAAAATTGTCTTACGTTGTCGTTTTTAAAACTACCGATTTGAAAAATCTTCAATTATTGTTTTCGATATGCCACGCAAACGTAAATCCAATCTAAGTGGTAGTTCCAGCATAGCTCAAACTGCAAAAGTTGCTAGAAGCCAAGAATCTGAAGAGCAGACTCAGACGCTTCAGATGTTAGATTCTCAGCGTCATGCGACTCAAAAAGCTTCTAAGACTTTAGAGCAGAGTCAGGCCCGTCGGGTCTTGGATGCTGAACACCACACATCTCAAAGATCTCTTGAGACAGTGGAACAGACTCAGACACGTGGAGTTTTAGATGCCGAACGTCACGCGCAATTGATTGCGGCAGAGACTGACGAAGATTCACAAAGACGACGTCTTTTAAATGCTGAACGGCAAGCAGAAAGAAGACGTACGTTCTCAATGAGTACGTGGGAGGCATTTAATGGTGACGCTTTTGAGTATGATCCCTTGATCGACTATGTTAATCACCGATTGGTTATCATTGAGAAAATGGATAAAAAATGCAGATATTGTGAAGCACTGAAATGGAAAGAAGAAACTCCAGGTATGTGCTGTTCTGGTAGAGAAGTTAAAATTCCATTACTTGACGAGTCAGAGGAACCTCTTAAATATTTACTTTTATAAGACAGTAACGAATCGCGCCGGGTTTTAAGCAGGATTAGAAGATATGATTCTTACTTTCAGATGACATCATTTGGTATAGATAATGAGGTCGCAATGCTGGATTTTCACCCACTTTTACCATCCAAGGATAGGTGTATCACAGGATTGGTTCCTTRCTTCCCGCAAATAATGAACAATGCAACTTTTTTGGGATAAAAATGACATTGCCGAAGATATTTTACATCGTCTTCGTTAAAAATTGGAAATGGGTCAATTTAGGTTGATACTTCCGGTGGTTTGACATCAATTCCATCTGCCGTTTATCAATTCATGAAAGCTGAACTCATCACGAATATTCGGACATTGGCCAAATTATCGTAACTAAGATTCCTTGAGTGCACGCGCAATTTTAGCTGCCAATAATACCGATGTTGTTGACTTAAACTGGAAGATTCACAATCAAATTCCAGGAGACTTGTGCTCAAACAAATCGATCGATCGTCTTGACAATTAAGACGACGCCGTTAATTATTCAGTGGAATTTCTAAATTCTTTGAAAAGGCTTGGTATGCCACCGCATCATTTGCGTCGCAAAGTTGGATCTGTCCTTACTATGTTCCGCAATCTGCGCTATGGAATACAAGGGGGCAGAATGCTTGATTCTACAAATTCCTTTGAGTTCGAACAATTTGCCATTTCAGTTCAAACGTATTCCGTTTCCAGTGAAATTTGCGTTTGAGATGACAATCAACACGACACAAGGATAGTCGCATAGTGTGTGGCAGAAATTTGGAAATTGTATGTTTTTCACACTCCCAGATATACGTGGCGTGCTCTCGAAATGGAAAATCATCTTTTCTTTACACCGGAACAGAAACCAGAAAATTTTGTTTAACAAGCTGCGTTACATTGAAAAAAAATTAAATTATAAATTTAATTTTATAAATTTANGAAAATTTAATTTAAAAAATTAAACGTTGAAAATCTCATTTTATGCAAAATTATTTTATAAAAACTTACGCAWCCCTGCTAGTCTATACATACATACACTACTTTGGGGAATTTAGCGAGAAAAATTCGGAATTGTGATATGCTATGCATTTAAAGACAGACTATTTTATACCTAGGAAAATAAGCGTTTTGAAATTCATGAAGTGCTAAAATAGCTTTCTACTTTAATCTAATATTAATTTTTACAAGTTTCACCAAACCAAATCACACATACACATATTAGAAGTTTCATTTGAATTAAGCGTAAGCAAGTATAAATTATTTGAATATTTTTTCACTTTCAGCAAGCACTCTCCATTTACAACATCCTTTTTACAGCCATTATTTGGTTACAACATCCTTCACATGTTTTCTAAGCGCTATCAGGAACACTACACCAATGTGTAGCACAGCATTTGTCTTTTTCTTTATAGCGTCGGACTGCAAAGAAAAGAAAGAGAATAACACATTTAATAGTAGATATCACATTTTTACTTCCATCTCTTAAGAATAATTGACAAGCTCACTTCAATTTCTAGTTTTTTTCCTGCCTAATTTAGTGGCAAGTAGCTCCTCTGCCGGCTTCTCGCTTCTAGCCATTCGCTGTAATGTGGTATGTGGAACTTGAAAGATTTTACAGGCCAACAGTATTCCCCTATCCCCGTTGCTACAGCTGCCATGGCCTTTCTCATATTCTGTACATCCCACCGCCTGCGTTTTTTTGGCATATTTGGAACACACTTCAACAATAAAATGAAAGCATTAGCCTAATGCAAATAACGCGGGTAATATGGTAGTGTACCATATTGGAGTCACGCCGATATACCATATTACCAGTTTTCTTTACTAGAGTAAGTGTGAGTAATATGGTATACCAATTTGTGTTTTGGCTATAACTACGAAAAGATTCGTCAAAAACCTTCAAAAGTGAATTGTTTTTAGTATTTTAATATTGGCAATTATAGCCCTTGACTTTAAATCAGTCAGAAATTGGCATTATGAAAAACGCGCGGGTATACTATATTACCCGTTTTCTTTGCTACCACATTTTTTACTAAAATTTTCATTTAAAAAGTTAAATTCTTTCAAACTAACCTTTCGTAAATGAAGTTTTGTGAATTATCTAAAGATTTAAATAAAAATTTCCTTCACCAATTTTTCACTGCGCCGTGCTGAAGACCTTCTAAAATTACGCGTTTTTAGCAACTGAGAAAAACTATGCCGCTGATGATGCCGTTATTATACTCTCGCAACAAACTTGCTAAAGAGAGTATTATAGTTTTGTTCACAAAACGGTTGTTTGTAAGTCCTAAAACTAAAAGAGTCAGATATAGGGTTATATATACCAAAGTGATCAGGGTGACGAGTAGAGTTGATATCCGGATGTCTGTCTGTCCGCCCGTCCGTCCGTCCATGCAAGCTGTAACTTGAGTAAAAATTGAGATATCATGATGAAACTTGGTACACGNTCTAGTGGAGAGTTGATATAGTTATTCATATAGTTTTGATGGTACTGCAGAACGGAGATTGTGCGTGACCATTCCGATTGTTGTATTTCCCAGTCCGAGGGCTTAAAAGTAACAAAGTAATTAATTAATAAATAAAAGCCTGTAGATATATTATAACCAACTTACTTTGATCCATGTTGAGGATTGCAATGCTAATTTCAACATAGCAAATATATGTGTGCCAGCAACGAGTCCTTTTTTCTGGTAAGAATCGTGTGTGGGTGAAACGATGCCACCAATGACATGATGTGATCCTTGTGTTTTGTAATAATCACGTGCAATTTCTATATCATAAAAGAAAAATAAAATAAAAAATATATGCCATATATAATGAAAATAAAAAAAATAATGAAAAATATAAAATGTTTTTAAAATAAAATTTCAATTTTGCTCCACATTTCTAGTTTTTAGTCTGCCAAATCCGATTTTCGATCAGAGTAAACTGGTAGATCACAGGTATAAATTCGAAGGGTGTTGCTTTAAGCAAAACCAAAGAATGTGTAATATAATATAATAACACATAAACATACATATTTACGCTGGTTTGAAGCGGTGACAATCGGCGGCCATTCGATTATTTTTTTCGGCACAGCTTAGATTTTCTACCAACAACACAATGTGGTGACGCTTTGTCGTCGTGTCAGTCCTTCGACACATTGACTTTTTAACAACGATGAAGTTCGGCTATTGGTTGCCCGTGACAACGGAGTTTTTGTATGAAACAATGGGTGTATATACTTACATACAAAGTTGTGTGTAGACAATTTACAAACATTATGCGAATGATTATTTCAAAATTGTTTACATGAACACAAATTACATACATATGTGAATATTTGATATTTGAACTTTATGCGTACGGTTTTTGAAATGACATGGTCTTTTAAGATGTTATCAAAACTTGTAATACGGATACCCAAAGCAAATAAATACATACGTGAATCTTATATTAATTAAATTTTTAAGTAATAATACAAATATGACTTTATTATACATTTCAACAGCTTTAATGGAATTCATCATTAAATGGGTCAAATTGCACATACATACTTATATACTTATGTGCTTTGATATCAAATATATGGAGAGTACCCATAAATGATATTCATAGCCGCGAATGCGAAAAGTGCGCACCAGCATTAATCTATTGATGCCAAGTGGAACAAATGAGCAGATGAGCAGAAAATCGATTTGTCACCGAAGTGAAGGCGGTGCAAACGCTCCACTGCCACAATAGCGCTTGAGAATCGCACGCAAACAATGCGCTGAGCTACCATTGTTAAAAAGCAATTAAACAGCAATTGTCTAATTAGTTGTTTTGGGTTTCGTATGTTTTATTTATTTTTTGTTTTAGCTTAGCAAATTATTTTATTTTACAGCTTTTATGTGTGTTGTGATTTAATAGATATTTTTCTAGAAGGTTGCAAATAAAGTATTAATATAAAATACAATTGCATAAACATTTAATTTTTTTTGATTTTGTAATCCTGAATAGTTTTCGAATTTCAAATCCCAAATACCGGATTAAAGAGGAAAAAATTAATGCTAAAAAACGTAATTAAAAATAAAAATAATTTAATAACAAAATATATGGATTGAAAAATTAAAATATATTTTTTAATACCAAATACTGGAAATGCTTATTGGAAGATTAAAATTATTTTTGTTTTTTAGTTCCAAGTACCGGATTGAACGATGAAAAATATTTTTTTAATTCCAAATACCGGATTAAACGATGAAAAATTGTTTTTTTAATTCCAAATACCGGATTGAACGATGAAAATATTTTTAATTCAAAATATGCTAATTTACGATTGAGGATTAAAATTAAGAATTAAAAAAAATTTTTTCGCTCTTGCGTACTTTATACAATCAAACGATTTATATTTCAACAATTTTTAATTCCGATTTTGCAACTGAAAAATTTATTTAAAAAACTAAACATTGAAAATCTAATTATATCCAAAATTATTTTATAAAAAGTTACGCAACCGTTCTCGTCTATACATAAATACATTACTTTGGTGAATTAAACGAGAAAAATTCGGAATTGTGATATGCTGTGCATTTACAGATAGACTATTTTATGCCTAAGAAAATAAGCGTTTTGAAATTCATGAAGTGCTAAAACAGCTTTCTGCGTTAATCTAATATTATAGTTTATAAGTTCCACCACACCAAACTGCATGAAATTGAAAATTATTGACAAACATCACACATACATATATTATATTAGAATTTTCATTTCAGTTAAGCGTAAGCAAGTATAAATTATTTGAATATTTTTTCACTTTCAGCAAGCACTCTCCATTTACAACATCCCTTTTACAACCATTATTTGGTTGCAACATCCTTCACATGTTTTCTAAACGCTATCAGGAACACTACACCAATGACTTTAAACATTCACAGCATCTGTCTTTTTCTTTTTGGCGTCGGACTGAAAAAAGTAGAAAGCGAATAACACATTTAATTAAAAAATAATGTTTTTTTTATTTAAAATTCTTGTATTCACCTCATCCCAACCACTGCCAGCGCGCTGGATCTCCGTTGTAACTTTCGTACCCTTCTCGGACGTCACCACCTGCACAACTTGTCCTGGCCCATTACGAATTGGGAGCAACTTCTTGGCTGCGGCAATATTCTCATTGTCACCACAACAAAACACGTTCATGCTTGAAGGCTTACGATTATCTAAATTGAAACTATTTAGAAAATGTTTAATAGAATAGTCACTCTGATCCATATGCACAGCCTTCACCGGCTCATTGGCATCATCTTCGTCATCAGATGGCGAATTATTGACGGATGAGCTGGGATTAGTATTAACACGGTTTAAATAAAAGTTGTTATATTTTTGTGGGTATGTTGTTAAACGGTTTAGTCCAATCATATACTTACTAACCGCACAAAGTTTATAGTAGCATAAGTAAAAACAATAATAAACATTTTTTAGTTTATTATGAAAAGCTTGTGAGCTTTTAAAAACTGTTATTCACAAGAAATTTCAATGAAAAATGTAATTAAATATTTTTTAGACGGTATAGAACTAGGAAGGAACTACATATATGAGAACTACCTATACTGTTGGTGGCTAATAAAATATAAAAAAAATTATAGAATTAACATTTAAATTAAAAAATATTTATTACATAATACTGAAAATGTTAAACAAAAGTATTTTTTTTAATCCAAATACCAGATTGAACGATTAAAAATATTTTTTGGATT